GTCGGTAGGAAATAGTTGGAATCCATTATTAAGGAAATAATAACAGGAGATTTGGAAAGTCAAAACCAATCCATCACAGTCAGCATGGTTTTATGAAGAGTAAGTCATGTTTGATTAATTTGCTATAGTTCGTGGAAGATCTAACAAGCATAATGGGGATCCTGTAGAAGTAAGAAAAACCAAAAGAACTGCGGACGCTGTAAATCAGAAAGAAAAATCAGAAAAGCTCAGCAAGTCTGGCAGCATCTGTGAAGAGAAATCAAAGTTAACGTTTTGGTTCTGGTGACCCTTCCTCAGAACTGATAGCAGCCAAGAAAATGTTGGTTTATATGCAGAAGATAAGGTGGGGGGAGAGGGTAAAGAGTAAATAGTAGGTAGGGATAGAGCCCAAAGAGAGAGAGAACAGTTGGATAGACAAAGGAATCGATAACAATCTGGCAGGGAGGGTGAATAGCTGTTAATGGAGACTGTTAGTGGCTAACAATAGGTAGTATGTACTGGCAGACTATGTGATAATAAGGCATGGTATATGTGGTAGGGGATTGGGACGTGGGAGATTCAGGCCCTAAACTTATTGAATTCAATATTGAATCCAGAGGGCTGCAGGGCACCCAAGCAAAAAATGAGGTGTTATTCTTCCTGCTTGCACTGAGTTTCGCTGTAACACTGCAGCAGGACTGAGACAGAAATGTTGGCCAGGGAGCAGGGTGGTATGTTAAAGTGGCAGGCAACTGGAAACGCAGCGACTTTTTTATGGCCAGACTGTAGATGTTCTGCAAAGCAGTCACCCAGTCTATGCTTCGTTTCCCCAATGTAGGGGGGACCACATTCTGAGCAGCGAATGCAGTAGACTAAATTGTGAGAAGTGCAAGTAAAGTGCTGCTTCATCTGGAAGGTGTGTTTGGGCCCTTGGATACTGAGGATACTCACTCCTCTCATTTTCTTCAGGTCAGAGAGGTGGCCATAGGTGCTCGCATGTGCCTCAGTAATGCCTGTCTCTTTGTGGGGTATGTGAAACATTCCTTGTTCCAGTCCTATTTTGGCCCCAACTACAACTTTTTCTCTGATATATCGCTGATATTATCACAGCTGCTTCCCTCTCTAGTCTAGGATTGGAAAAGTTCATTGATTTCACTTCCAATTTCCATCCTGCCCTCAATTTCACCTGGTTTATCTCTGACTCCTCCCTTCTCTTCCTCAACATCTGTTTCCATTTCTGAAGATAGACTGGCCACTAATATCCACTATAAACTCACCGACTCCCACAACTACCTGGACTATACATCCTCACATCCGACTTCCAACTCCATCCCATCCTCCCAGTTCCGCCGTTTCAATCACATATGTTTCAATTGAGGCCAACTTTGACAAAGAAGCCTCAGAAACTTCTGATGAAGGGTCTAGGCCCGAAACGTCAGCCTTTCTGCTCCTATGATGCTGCTTGGCCTGCTGTGTTCATCCAGCTCTGCACCTTGTTGTCTCGGATTCTCCAGCATCTGCAGTTCCTACTATCTCCAAGCCTCAGAAATGTCCACTTTCTTCCTCAACCGAGGGTTCCCCAGCACCGTTGTCGACAGGGTCCTCAACCAGGTCCAACACATCTCCCGCACTTCCACCCTCACCCCCTCTCTTCCCTCCTGCAACAGCAATAGAGTTCCCCTTCTCCCTACCTACCATCCCACCAGCATCCACATCCAGAAGATCATCAGCTGCCATTTCCGCCAGCTCCAGCAAGATGCCACCACCAGATACATATACCCCTCCCCTCCCTCGTCCAATTTCCGCAGGGACCACCCCCTCTGGGACACCCTGAGCCACTTTTCCTTCAATGCCAATACCCCTGACCCCCAACAGCACCTTTCCCTGCCAGCACCAGAGATGTAAAACATGCCCATTTACCTCCTCCCTTCTCAGTATCGAAGGGCCCAAACATACCTTCCAGGTGCAGCAGCACTTTATATGCACTTCACACAATCCAGTCTGCTGCTCACAATGTGGTCTCCTTTATGTTGGGGAAGAGAAGCATAGACTGGGTAACCGCTCCCCTGAACAACTACGTTCTGCCTGCAACAAAGATCCTGAGCTTCCCGTCACCTGCCATTTTAACAGACCACACTGTTCCCTGGCCAACATCCCTGTCTCTGGCTTGCTGCAGTGTTCCAGCGAAGCTCAGCGCAAGCTGGAAGAACAACACCTCATTTTCTGCTTGTGTACCCTGCAACACTCCAGACTCAGTATTAAGTTCAATAATTTAGGACCTGAACTCTCCCATGTCCTAGCCCCCTACCCTACACACCAAGTCTTGTTATCACTAGCCTGCCATTACATACTACCTATTGTTAGCCACTAAACAGTCTTCACTAACAACTATTCACCCTCCCTGCCAGATCGTTACTAACTCGTTCGCCTATCCAACTGTTCATCTCTCTCTTTGGGCTCTATCCTTACTTATCGTTTACTCCTTACCCCACCACCCCCAACCTATCTTCTGCATATAAACCAACATTTTCCTAGCTACCATCATTTCTGAGGAAGGGCCACCGGACCTGAACCGTTAACTTTAATTCCTCTTCACAGATGCTGTCAGACCTGCTGAGTTTTTCCAGCAACTTCTGTTTTTGATCCTGTAGAAGGAGTTTACCTGGACTTCCAGAAGGCATTTGATAAGGTGCTACGCTAAAGGTATACAAGGTAAGATGACATGGTGTTAGGGGTAATTTATTAGCTAGGATAGAGGATTGGCTAACCAACAGAAAGCAGAGAATTGGGATAAATGCGTCTTTTCATGGTTGGTAAGATGTAGCTAATGGGATGCTACAGGGTTTGATCCCCAGCCCCTAATAATTTGCTACCTATATTAATGACTTGGATGCCGAGATAGAAGGTGTAATGGTCAAATTTGCAGATGACAGTAAAATAGGAGGGAAAATAAGTTGAAATAAAGAAATAAGTTATTTTCAACTGGATTGGGCAGGTTAATGGGCCAAAATTTGGCTGATGAAATTTAACATTATTAAATGTGAGGTTATCTATTTTGGTCAGTAGAATAGAAAGGTAACTCTCTACCTAAATGGAGAGAAACTTTAGACTGCTTCGATGCAGACAGATCTGGGTGTCCTCATGCATAAATCGCAGGAAACTAATATGCAGGTCCAGCAGGTAACAAGAATGGTGAATGGAATTTTGTAATTTATTACTGAAGAAATAGGGTATAAAATAGGGAGGTGTTGCTGCAACTGTACAAGGCATGAGTGAGACTGTAACTGGAGTATTGTGTACAGTTTTGGTCCCCTTACTTGAGGAGGATGTAGTTGCATTGGAGGCAATTCAGAGGAGATTTACTAGATTGATTCCAGAAACGAGGCATTTGTCTTATAAAGAGCAGTTTAGATCTATACTCTCTACATTTAGAAGAATGAGAGGAGATCTAATTAAGGTACACAAGACACTAAAGGGAAATGACAAAGTAGATGGAAAGAAGGTGTTTCCTGTTGTGGGACAATCTAGAATGAGAGGTCATAGTTTTAGGATAAGGCGTAACAAATTTAAAACAGAAATGTAGAGAAATTTCATCCCTCAAAAGGTTATGAATCTGTGGAATTCACTACCCAAAGTGCAGTGGATACTGAGATGTTGAATAAATTTGAGGAGGACAGAGACAGATTTGTAATTAGTAATCAGGTTGAAGGCTTATGGAGAGAGGGATCAAAATGGAGTTGAGGCCAAGATGAAATCAGCCATGATTGTGTTGAATGGCAAAGCAGGCTTAAGAGGCTGAATTGCCTTCTCCTATTCCTGGTTCTTTAACTTATTTAGTTAACTACGAATAATGGGTCCTCTCTTTGGAATTTTTCTCTACTGTAAGAATATGCTTATTCCCAACTATGATTGGTGATGGGTTGAATTCCTTGTTTTTATTCATCAAGCCATGAATCCTGTACATTCATCTGAAACTCTGGGCAAAGCTTTAGCTTTGTATTTTTTCTGCAAGTTATCGCCTCTAATAATAAGTAAGACATTTAGTCACTTGTCAGTACAGAACTTGAATATTGCTGAAAAAGGACATACTGTCAAATCTTTTCACTCGTCACTCATCAGGACATTTTCAAGAATATCAAACTTCAAAGGAGTCGCAATTTATAACGCATGAGTAAAGGGTGCTGAATGGTTGCAAGTCAACTCTGATTATTGAGGTGTTGCTTTGAGAAAAGCACCAGGAAACTATTGCCCCCATGTTTTTGATAATGAAACGTTGTTAAATGCTAGTTTTGTCCTTTACTGAAGTGTTGATGTCAACTTTGTACCCCAGCCCATTTGTGAACCCAGAATTCATCATCTATCATGTGCAGAGGCAAATCTGCTAATGCTCAGTTAAGCCATGAATCACAGCATGACTTTAACATCAACATTCCACAGGGTTTTTTGCCTTTTAGAGAACTTTTGAAATGCACGTGAATGAAAAAGATAACTCCAGTAAAACCAAAGCAATTGCTTCCATCAATCTACTGACAAGTCACTCACTTGAGGACTGCAGCTGTTCAAGAAGGCAGCTCACCACCATATTCTCAAGGGCAACCAGGGATGGGCCATAAATGTTGACCAACCAGCGATGCTCATATCCCACAATAAATTTAAAAAAAACTTACTGCAGTTTAACCATTATATCCATTTCAACAATTTTCTTTATGTTTTGTAACAGAGGAAGGCAAAAGTCATAATACTCTGATGGTTGAGTACAAAAGCAATTTCATTCTATCAAACCCTGTACAGCAACTATGATAAAATGAATTTTCAACACTCTTTCGTTTCTCAGTATTTTAAATAATACCAAACATCACCATACTTCAACTCGGAGAACAGGTTGAAATTGAAAAAAATCATTAAGCCATAAATCCCTAATTTAACCAACTGATCCATAATACATTCAACAGATTACCTCAACTACAGCAAATATACTTACATTATTTTCAATTATTAAGAAACAAATAGAAATAACTTGCCTTTATCAGTTGGTATTATCTTCTGCACTGTCATATTAACAATTAACTTTTCTTCAATAGTTACGAGCTGCTGTTGCTGCTCTGTAGTATCTACTGGACTTGGAAAAGCTTTGGTTGATGATGAAACAGTGGGAAATGTTGAACCTTCCACAACCTTTTGCGTAGCTATTTTCTGTTCAACAGAAGGTTTAGAAGTTGCCGGTACCAGTCTAGTTCTGGATGCTGGTGTTGTGAAGTACTCATGATCGATTTCAGGTTGTGAGACTTTACCAGTCATATCAACCTCCAAGATATCAGGAGGCTGTGTAACTGATTCATCAATAACTACAACCTCTTCAGCTGTAGTCTCACCAGGCTCATTTTCAATAATAATTGGAGTTGCACTCGTTTCTAAACGCTTAGGTTTCACTGAAGTTTTTATTTCATGATCAGACGTGAAAGCACCCGTACCAGGTCTAATTTCAAAAAGAGGAGCCATGATTGTTGATACCGTTTTAGGTACTGTTGAGGTTATGTTAACCCGCGCTGCAGTGGTAACTGGTCCAAAACTAACATCATCTGTTACCTTGGGGGTCAACTCTTTTTGAATATCATGTTCTGCAGACACAGTTTCATATACCGTTGGAGCTGGCATTACTGATGACATAATGATTTTCTCATCACCTTTATCTTCTTTTTTCTCATAATCTTCAGTCTTCATTCCATCCTGCCATGTTGAAGCTGGTTCACTAGTGCCAGTCCCTGCAGCAGGAAGAGTTGCTGTTATCTTCTTAGTTACCTTTTTGGGTTTCAGCTTTTCTCCCTCCGCCTCTGAAAAAGTGACTGAAGTTTCAGTGATGTGAGCCTTTTCAGTTAGCTGCAGTTTACCCATGGTTGGCATTGATGAAGTTTCAAAGGATGACATTGTTTTGTGCTCATCTCCTCCCACCAGTTTAACACTCTCACTTGCATTCTCTACTGTTGTTTTCACAATATCTGGTGATCTTGGTATTGTCGTGCCACTGGCAGGTTCCTTGATCTCTTGTTGTCTAACGGTCTGGGTGTCTTTATCTGAACTTTCTAATTTCACAGTGCTGGCACTCGTGGGCAGTTTCAGCTTATTGTCATCTGCTGTTACAATATCCATCTCTGTTAACAATGTGGTTTGTATGCTAGGTTGGACTTTTTCTCCCTTTTGGGCAGGATCACTTGTAACTTGAAATTCTTGTTTGCCTGATGGTTCAAATGATGCAGCCAAAGCTGTTGTCGCTCTTACTACCTCCCTGCTAATGTCTTCAGGATGCCCAGTAACACTTTCTCCATCTGGAATTTTTGCACTGATTACAGGTGTGAGCATTTCAGTGCTGGTACTTTGTTCTATTGTTGTTTTTACAGTGACTTCATCACTCGGCCTTTCTTTAATTCCTGAAAACACGCTGTGGCTTTGTATGGTTACTTTCTCCCCAGGTTTCTCAATATCAGTTTTGACTAGATGAATTCCAGTAGTCACTACTTCTCCTGATTTGGCTTCAGGGGTTAAATGAGTACTAATCTGCCCTTCTTGAAAAGGCTTTGAATCAAGGCTCATGCTTTGATTATACTCTTCAACAACTAACATTGGAGGTGGTGATACCTTCTCAACAATCAAATCAGTTGCAGCTTGATGCACTTTCTTTGGGCCCAAGGCTATTTGTGGTGTTGTTTTCTTTAAAGACCTCCCTGTGAACAGATAAAAGTAAATGTTGAAATTTTGTCAGAATACCACTTTGGGGTTATATTCCACATTACTCAGGACCAACATTACAAATTTCAAAAGGCATATACTTTTCCATTTAGTTCTACAAGAGAAATGTAGAAGTTGTTGAGTTTCTCTGGCAAGATCCCATGAAAACTTTAGCAGAGGTTCAACACAATTTTGAGGCTGGAATGCCTGCCAGAATGAGGCATGCAGGAACTCAAGGTGTACTATAAGTGACACGGGCTCCTGAGACGCCATAAAAATTGGGAGCCCTCCCCATCTCCACATATTCTGGTAGATCAATGCTGGAGGGGTATAGTAGATTTGTGACCATTTTAGTTTTCTGCAGGCCCAGATTAAACATCTAGGAACATGAGTTGAAATCCTATCATGGGGAATTTAAATGCAATTAATGACACAAACCTGCAAAATAAAGTTGGTATTAATAATAGTGACCATGAGAATACTGGATTGTCAGAAACACTCATCTGGTTCACTAACTTCCTTTATGGAAGGAAATCTGTTGTTTTACTCATCTTTACCTGGTGATTCCAGACCCACAACAATGTTGTTGACTCACAGCTAATGAGTGAAATGGCCTAACTAGCCAGTCAGTTGCATAAGGATGTGCCACAAATGCTGTCTTTGCCTGCACTGTCCACATTCTCTGAGTTAATTAACAAAAACAGGACAATCCCACTTGGAATTACTGGAAAATTCTGGCCGTGCTAAATGTTGCTAAATCAGCCTCAAACATTCTAATAAATGTGGCCTATTAAAATGCACTTAAGATAAAGTTCATGAATAGGAAAGGGTTAGAGGGATATGGGCCAAGCACAGACAGGTGGGACTAGTTTCATTTGGCAACATGGTTGGTGTAGACTAATTGGACGGAAAGGTCTATGACTCTCAGTAAATGTGTTGCCTGTCAGAAAAAAAATGCCTTTCTAACAACAGTTCATCATATGAGACACAAGAACAGGAAGTGTAACCATTGTACAGTTATGGTTATGACTTTGGCTTTTTGCACCCAGTCATTCACTTTATTGTCTGGAGGGATCAAAGCCAAATCCTTAAGAGGTCAGCATGTTAAACATGCAAAACTAAACAATCCCAGTGATTCCCAGCTGTCACTTAAGTAAACACAAAAATATAAATAGGGATTCTCCAAAGGTTCCCCAGCACATTGACAATCATTAGAATAAATCACCTCCCAAAATATTTTCAGTATGAATTTTACGTTACATGTTAATTTTCTCTTTACAAACTTGATAACCTTCACTTAGGATCTGAATGCAAGCAAAGGAAACCATTAAGGAGCACTGCCTATCCTTAATGTACATTGATGGTCTAGTGTTAATGTTTAAAGTTGTTTGGCAACCAGGAAGAGTGGAGCCCATTCTAAGAAGTCAGGTCTTAGCCACTGCAAAAGGTTGGCTGTTGGCCATCAACAAGGTGAAAGAAACACATCTTTAAGTGATTTTCATCCATTAGTAATGGGATTCGAAAGCTGGAGATATTTGAAATGTGTTTCAGAATGGATAATTGTAAATCTTTACAGCATTGCAGTGATAGTTCAACAGCTTTGACAGCATGTTGAAGTAAATTTTGCATGAATGTATTTTGTATAAAAACATGGAGATGAATTACATGAGAACTTTTCTTTAATGATAATGATTAGCTTTCATTTTTCCAAGTTCTTTAAAAAGCACATAAAACCAAGAATTGGCTTTTTTGCTTTCATATTTAAACCCTGCCATTTCCTGACTTTCTAGACTGGCTCCAAAATGACTAAAAATCGTAATTCAATCAGACAAAGCTGCTTTTGGCACAGAACAGCAACTCATGATCAGGCATAAGTCAAAATTAATTATTCATCACAAACATTTTCAGTGTCACTTCAGTATAACACTGTACATTTTCCTAACATTACACTTTGTGTGGCATTATGAGTTGGTGATAAATTGAGACAGTTACTGTTCACCTTCTTTCTAATGACTTAATCCTAATGTATGGGTAACCCCTAAAACAGGAGGAGGTATACTTTTATACCAAGTGTGCAGTTCAGGCAATACAGCCTCAGCAGGATTGCTGCAGCCATATATGATGCACTGAATTGAATTATTCATACAACAGCACGACGAAAAGACAGGTTTTCCCATTTCAAGCACATGCTGCATTTAATTTTTATCCCCATCTTGTTAGGATCAGTGATGCCACTTGGCTTATTCAGCAGTAATGCACAATAGGAAAGATTACAACTAAGCCAATATACCTTACCTTTATGCCAAATATGCTTGTCTGCTCATTTCAGTTGATATTCTCAAATTACTCTTAAGAACACCATAATGGGTGTAAATGTTTCACCATAGTTTTATTTAGTTCAAATGCTCTTTCTAACCATAAATTTGGAATAATGCATTTAGACTTATAGTCATTTTTAAATTTTAAATGGAGCAGAGTACAAAAAATTCAAATACCAACTCTTATCATTTACTGCAACCCTTGTGAAAAATGTCTACTGCAGCCTTGAGGAAACTTCATGTGCATAACATTACACATTATTTCTTACTCTGCACTTAGCCACTTCTGGCAAAGAGCTGCAAACTCATAGAGAACACATCAGAAAACTGTGTGTTTACAGTCTGTGCCTTTCTTGTTCAATGTGAATACCGGTCCTCACAGGCAAGAAACCATCTTGGAAATAGCCCCTTTATATTCTTCTGGCTGTGTTCATCTTGAGGCATGCTTCATGCTGATACTATTTGCTTCAGATAGTATGGTGCACCTCTCTCATACATAAATGAGTCAAGACCAGAAAAATAAAACTCTAAATGCAAGCCTTTGATCTGCTTTCCAAGAATGGAAGGAATATCATTGTATTGAAGTGTCTAGGATGTTTCTATGCAGTTGTACAGTGTTGTTACAGGCTTACAACTAGGCAGAACATAGCAATCATGGGGATGCCGATTGTGTCACAATCTACAATCCAGAGGCCTAAGATCCTATTTGGAGGAAAGGGGTTCAGATCTCACCATGGTACCTGGTGGAACTTAAATTCATTTAAAATCTATCTAAATTATAATGTTACTCTTAATAATGCTGGCCATGAGAAGCCTCACCGATTGTTGTAAAATCCCATCTGGTGCACTAACGTCTTTTAGGGGAGGAAATTGGCTATTCTTCCCACCTTCAAGCCTATATGTAACTCAGAGAGCCTCAGCAATGTGATTGATTCTTAACTGCCCTCTGAAATAGCAAGCCACTCAGTTCAAATCACTTAGGGAATGGGCAATAAATCTGGCTTTGACAATGACACCGACATCATATGAAATAACTTTACGATATACAGGAGAGATCACAACGTGCTTTGGGGTTGCACCAATAAAAGTCATATCTGACAATTTAAATTTATGGCCTCATATTGCTTCAATTATTACCGCTGATAGTTTAACCATCAGAACATTAGAACAATGCCTACACTAAGAAAGTACTTCAATGAATGCAAAGCTCATTGGGATATTCTAAAGGTGCTATATAAATGGCAGTCTATTTTTTGAATTTTTACTTCACTCCAATTCAAAATATCTTAAAATGATAGCATACATTTGGAAGCATGAACTTTAATGTTGCATTGCTGGTAGATTCCACAATTCAAGTGAATACAATATGAACAACCCGCATTACAATCATTATGGTCAGTTCAATAACCCTGTCAAAAATGGGGCTGTGGTAACTGTACCTCATGATTCAGTCAGGGGATCTGGAATTCCCAAATTCAACAAAACAAGTTTATTATCTTAATTTGAATATGCAATCTGTACTGTTGTATAACAATGCTTTGGACAAAGTTAAGTTTGAATTTCCATAAACTCCAGCCAAACTGCTGATTGTCACAGTCTTTGGGTGTAGGGAGATGAATTCTATATTAGACTTCATAGAGAGCAGATGTATTTGGTACAGCTCCTGAGAGTTCTTAGTAATTTTTCTGACTAATATTTTAAACTTATTCCTATCATGCAATACACCATCCTGTAACTAGGATAAGTGTCTCTTCTGCAGACTCTATAGTGATGTATCCTCTGCCACTAATCATTGAATGGCGCCTAGTCAAAATATAGACAAAGAAGGATTGGTAGCAGCGAACTACATCAAGCAACCCTACTTTGTGCCACACACTGGAAGAGGTGGCAATTATCACACAATGTTTCTAATGGGAACAGGACTAGTATCATTTTTCGTTCACTGGATTTAAAAGAAGTAAGGAAAATCATGAAGGGCACATAACAGAACTTCAATGTAGGTGATGGTAATTTGGATATTCTACTTGACAGGCAAGTGATGAAAACAGCACTCCCTCAGCCACAACGTGCAGCAAGCACAATTCAATGGATACCAGTTTCCGCATCAAAGCTCAGCTGAAAAGATAAGTAGGCCTGCAAGGCTAAGCATCAAGGTAATGCTATCAATAAGCAGGCTACTCAAACTAATACTATGGGCAGAGTCTGCCTGTTTGAACATGATGCAATATCAAGAGTGAAGATGGGACGCATTTATACAATTTCTTGGATTTTTCACACAATGTTTTTAAATTCTATTATGCTTCAGCTTCAACTTTATGGCTGGCACTTAAAAGTGCTCCCAACATCATCCAATATGAGAGGCTGCATCACCTCAAATATTTTGCATCTGTTATTTTTTAAGAAAAGGTGTAAATGGATTTGAAATGAACCATTGTTTTTTATGTGAGACCGACTTAATTATGAACAAGAAAAATGCTGATGTGCTCTCCAAAGCCCCTGAAAGGTTTTGAAAGTTTAGTTTCAACTAAATTTGACACCTAAAAATCTGGGTTACTGGACCTGGTTGCCCAATTTGGAGTGGTAATCAGAACATTCTTCTTTAGCTCCACGCTTAAAGACAGGTCCAACCTAATCACCACTATCTTAACTACAGGTAGCTCAAGGAGGCAGGTCGCAGC